CTTTCCACAGGAAATGACAGCAACATAAAATGAAAACCATGATAACAAGCAATATGACTCTCCCACACATTACTTCCTAGTAACACCTAAGAACACACATTTGTAGCACGCTTTGAAAAAGTTAGCTCCATTGCAGAAGTATCATGAGCAATGAGTGTGTGTTGCTCTGAATCAGTCCTCCTGGCCCTCAAACCAAACTGAAGACCAGGAGAGTAACAGAAGCTGCGAACTACAATACGGCCAAAAAACAAAGGGGAAAAATGATGAAAAAATGAAGCCAAAATGCGTAAAGCATCATTACATGGTACTGATTCAAACAGTGCGACCCATATGGGTATTTTTAGAATATACTCCATGGCAGAGAGAACAACAAACTCTCAGACAAGTGATAGAGCTGTCAAACCTCGACATCTTAAACTACGCAGATCTATGTGAGGAAAAAAGTGGCCAGTATCAATAACCTTCTTGATTTAGACTGAGAAAGACTGCTAGGGTTATTTCTGCTTTACAACAGCACTTCTGTAGCAGTCAGTGGTCACTGATGATGGTGGTAAACATTTGGTTAGATGAACAGCAGAAGCAAAGCAAAACAATACTGAACAATAAAGCATGGAGGGAGAAACTTAAAAGGTCAGACAAATATAAAAAAGAAAGAAGGAAAATTTCACAGATACTAAAAAAGTTCCTGAATTGCAGTGCAAGAGACTACAGAGCAAGCCATCCTCCCCAAACCTGTTTCTGCTCTTCCCTCTTCTCCTTATCCTTCTCTGCAAATGAAAATGTAACTTTTATTTATGCCTACACATAAGTGCTGAGAATCAAAGGCATTACACCAAGCTTCTGGGGAAAGCAGCACACTGCAGAAAAACAAAAAGGCCATTATTTGGATGGAGAATCAGTCTGTATCACTGACTTGACTGGTCCCTTTTTATTAGCAGCTGTTAGAGCAGGGATCAGGGAGTGTGCTGGTGTGGTGCAGCTGTTCCACATATGTTATAAATAAGGGCTGGTAAAAGCTCATCTTATTTTTAACATGAGATATAAACCAAGAAGTCACAGAAATTCCCCATTAATGCCTTGTAAGTGGAACTTCTCTTCTTGACTTTACTGTCCAGAACTGAGCGGAAAAAACAGATCATTCTTAAAATAATATTCATTTCAAAAAAAGGAAAGCAAATGCAATTTAGAGGAATCAGATTCAGCCAGTCTGGAGGATGTAACCAATTTGTGTGTACAGTGTCTTTTCCTTCAAAAGCAGACACTTAATCAGGATGAAAACAAACCCCTGAGATTCTAACAAAAATGCTGGATTACCACATTGAAGAGTTCCTTTAGCACAGCTCAAAAGCTGAGCCCAGCACCACGTGGCTCAGACACCACTACACACCCTTCCCAAACCAGTGCTCACTTGTCCCTTGCTGGGCTGCTGTGTGTGGCCAGATCCCAGCTCCTGCTCACCAACCCCAATGCTGAAAAGGTCAACAACAATTCAACACAAAGGCAAAATTCCAGCCCTAGGCACATTCCCAGTTCACCTGTTTTCGGGGTCTGACACTGTCATGTTGCGCGTCACGTAACACATCTTGAGTGGGATTGTCTTCTTGTCTCTGTGGATGGAGAGCGCAAGCTGTGACATCGGGTCCGCAGAGGCACAACCCAGGCGGGGAGATTCGGGGGGAGGTGTCTCCCACCCAATCTCTGACACAGGGGAGCCTTTCTTCACATAGGGGGTTGCTTCTCTCATGTACTTCACTATGGAAAAGACAAAAAAAAAAGGAAAGCTATAATTAAATGGCTATTCAGTAGTTGCATCCCCATGTGAGGTCTTTGAACTGGTGTTAACCCTCAGTGCTGTTCATTATTTCAGCTTGCCCAGCATCCCAGCCTTGGAAGCTGTGCAAATACAGAAGATGCAGATCTGACTGCTGCCCATCTCAGCATGGTGCAATGAGTAAAAGGAGGGAAAAGAACAGAACAGGCAAAATAAGAATGTAAGGCCAGGAGAGCTGCCTCTATACAACAGCCTCTAGTCATGCAGCAATTCCTATGTACAGAAGCCATGAGTTGTCTGAGGTACAGGGAAGTTTTTAAGAAAGATATTCAACCAAGTGACAGTGAAACTATTATTCCCCTGTTTAAAATGTTCCAGCGATACTTCCAGTGCTGCCAGCTCACATCTTGCTTCTGGTTCACGCTTGTCAGTGTCCTGCCACTGATCTCAACAGCTATTTCTGCTTGCTGGGAAGCAGTTTTAGCTCATCTACTTGTACATATATATATGGAGTAAACAAAAACCAATTCACTTCTTAGCCTTCTCTTGGGGAAATAAAATTGAGTTTGAGCCTTTTGTGAGAGTGGCGGTGTCAGAATTGATCTCTTCTCAAGCTCTTCAAGGCTTTTTTCCATTATGGATAGGAAAAGTGAATGTAGGATTCCCAAATGATCTTAAGTGTATTAAAAAGTCAATACCCTTTTTACACATATATTTCAAACTCCCCTCTTTATGCAGGCAAATATTGCAACATCTTTTTTCTCTTTTTTAATTCTTTTGATAGTTCAAGATTACTTTTACTTTTGCTTTTCATGCGCTTGGCAAACCTGCCAGTCACAGTCTCCTTCCCCCTCACAAACCTGATGGAGCTCAGTCAGGGAAAGGTCTCACATTTAAGCACCCTGGTTAAGCATATATGCCCAGTGCATACAGCTGTGGCTCTTTAACTGGTTGTTGTCACTGGATTGTACCCATGGCTCACACAGCAGTGACAGGAACAGGGTAGGAGCACTGTGAACTTACTTGGGGAAGTTATTAAAACACTGTGAGAGAACATTTCAAGGAGATGGTGCAGATCACCATGTCAGCTCAGCTGAAGAGGCTAGGATGATTAAAGAACAAAAAGGTGGATAAATGACAAAAGGGCATTGTGGTGAAGGATGTTAAATTAGGGAAAGCAGACTGAAGGGAAATATTCAGAAGAGTAGAGAAGAACAACAGTGTTTCTGTCAAAACCACTGATAAGGTGATTAATTTCAGCAGCACTAGTTTCAAAGCAATTTATAACAGTTTTACCAAGAGAGAAACCAGTGCAAAACTTGAGTCCAGGCTCTATTGCCATCTTTTCTCTAAAACACCTTAGTGCACATCTTGCCATTGCTTGCTCACTCCTTTTTAAAAAAAATCTGTTACTTCAATTAGAAGGACTTCTGTGTTTAGGTATGTTACAGGATATTCCTCTGTGAGAAGGATCATTTGTGATTTCTCAGAAAGGCTGTCCTACTCAACACTGGTGTTTTGATTTCCTTGTCCCATCCTATTCTGAGTATTTTTCTAAATTACTTTGTTCCCTCCTCAGGGAAGAGTTGGGACAGGATTCTACCAGGCTTCCAGAAATCATTTAAGGCAAAAAGTGCTGAGCTTGATTTTCTGATATTTTTTAGACATCTACCTGATAGCTACTATCTGAAAACCTGTGGCACCTAAGTCCCAAAAACAGAGCTCATCCTTGGGTACTCCATAAATTACGTGATTTTCAAAAGTGCTGAAAATAAGCAGTTTTACCCAGTGTCACAGAGATACTGGTTCTGGCAGTCAGCATCTCAGTTTGGATGTACTCATAACCTTAGGGAAGCTGAAAAAAACCCAAACACATACAGATGTTGTGAATCTGTTCCTGTTTACAATGAATTAATATATGACTTTGTCATTAACTTAGATGGGAGGAACAGCTGAAGCTCTAAGAATCACGTTCATGCAAAAAAATTTTGTTCCCTTTAAAATTAGAGATTAACTATTAATCCCTTGAAAAAAGTAATGCTGTCAGCTTTTGAACCCTGTTACAGTGACATGCCAGCAAATGTGATGCTAAATAAAGGTCCAGGTCTCAACAGTGTAGCTATTTCATCTGTGCTATTTTCGTCCTTTTTCAGTTGCAGCTACATGCATTCGACCTTAGCATATTTTAATTAAGGAAAGGAGAGAGGGGCAGGGGTAGGAAGGAAGCTGAAGTAAAAAATTTGGCTGTTAACCTAAGTAGGAACACAAAATGTGAATGTAATTCCCCAGAGACAGAAGAAAAGAACCATTCCTCCCACGTGCCAAGAAGCCAAGTTTCCATGCGATGCACTCCTGAGTCCATGGCAGACAGCTGCACTGTTTCAGAAACTCCCAGGAAAAAGGAAGCAGGAGCAAGGGCAGAGAGCAGAAACACAACCGTCTTTCCAGAAACTGTGTCTCAAACAGCAAAAGCCAAGAAAACTACATTGAGTAAAAATGTCCTATGAAAATTCCTTCCAACTTCTGAACTCCAAGACACCTACTTTTTACTAACTCTCAACAGGAGGCAGCTGCCAGCCCCAGAGACAAGCATGAATAAAGACCCATTAATACACTGGTAAACTGCTAAGACCATCTTCCTACAAAATTCTACAGAAGAATGAAAAAATGGAGTATAGGTTTTCTTTTTCATAAAAAAAAGAAGGATTTTGGTAGCTTCTACTAATTATGTCCTGCTTCCTACCAAATGCAAGCACAGCTATCTAGACTCATGGCTGAATTCTGCAGGGGTTTACGGCCCAGACTTTATGGCCGTTGCATACTCAAATGTGTTTTGTATTTTAAAAGCTCCCAAGTGGATACATATAAAGGCACAAATGTAATATGGGAGTGGGACAGGTAGCAAAACTTCATCCATTGATAACATTTTTTGTTATTATTTAAATTTCAGTGCCACTGTTTTCCATTTGCTTCATCAGCATCCATAATTACATGTCCAGTTTATGTATTTAGCTGAAATAAGGCACACACTGTTCAGATGACTCATAAGTTTTATCAGCAATTATTTCCTATTTACCTCTAAATTCTGGATGCAAATACTGCAGAACATGCTGTTCTATAACAATGCACCAGTAACCCTACTACCTACACAGCAATTTAGCTTGACCCCACACGTCTATATTTTGCAGCCTATCCCACTAACCAGTTCTTAATCCACATAGTAGAAAACAAGTTGATAGCAGTATCTGTTATAGAATCATAGAATCATAGAATTCTAGGGGCTGGAATGGATCTTACAGATCATCTAGTCCCAACCCCCTGCCCTGGGTAGGGACACCTCCTCAGGTGGTTGCTCAAGGCCTCATCCAGCCTGGCCTTGAACACTGCCAGGGTTGGGGCATCCACCACTTCCCTGGGCAACCTGTGCCAGTGTCTCACCACACTTAGAGTAAAAATCTTTTTTCTCACATCCAACCTAGACTTTCTCTCCTTCAATCTGAACCCATTACCCCTTGTCCTATCACTGCAGTTCCTAACAAAGAGTCCCTCTCTGGCTCCTTGTAGGCCCTTCAGATATTGAAAAGTTTATCTGAGGTCACCACACAGTCTTCTCTTCTCCAGGCTGAACAGCCTCAACTTCCTCAGCCTGTCTTCGTAGAGGAGATGCTCCAGTCCTGTTATCAACTTTGTGGCCTCCTCTGGACTTGCTTCAACAGTTCCATGTCCTTCTTGTGTTGAGGGCACCAGAACTGTGTGCAGTATTCCAAGTGGGGTCTCATGAGAGCAGAGTAGAGGGGAAGAATCACCTCTTTTGACTTGGTAGCAACACTCCTTTTGATGCAGCCCAGGATTCTATTGGCTTTCTGATTTGATAGGCATATTCCCATTTCACACTGCACTATCTGAGAATCATGATTACAGTAAAGAAAGTATAACTGAAGTTATACGATTCATTTTAATCATCTAGTTTTAAAACCGGAAAACATATGATACAAACTACTGGACATTAAAGTAATAATGTGGATAATATTCTGTTTTCAGACCATTACACTCAAGAGCTAGATTTCCCTTTGGATACAGTAGCACAAATTCAGGTACTTACTGAAAAAAAAAAGCAACTATCAAGAACCCTGGTTTTATATAAAGCAAATGAAATGACCTAAAGGATTAAAACCCCAAAACATTTAACAAAATTAAATAAGGCATGCCATTGCATAACAACTCTGAACTATGTATAACTGTACGGGAGGCATGTACATGCCTTCAGAACTGATATTTATGTCTAATATATATACACAAATGCTAAATATATATTTATATTAAAATGCCACAGTCTTTAAGACCACCAGAATGTACTCTGCAAACACAGATACCAACATGCAGAGACTCAGGAAAAAAATGTAATGGTTTCATTATTATAATTTGATTTACTGATAGACTGTAATTTTAGTCAAGAGTTGTCTAAACTCATTTCTCTGATGCTATAGCTCAATCTCAAGATCCTTATATTCAGTACTAATTAAGGATCCATACCCTTTTGGTGCACCACTAATAAGAACCTGTGGTCAAGCAATTAAAATTCCAGTATGTGGAGTACCCCTCCCCACAAAGAGAAGATGAAGGGAAGTGGCAATCAAATGAATTAATCCACTGATACACACAGAAATATTTTTGATTTAGTTTTTGATCTGCAAGAAAGGCAATGTAGCTTCCAAAAAAGCACTTCATTTATACACACTTCTGCCAAGTCCCAAGACTCCACAATTAATCCTTTGTTACTCTTCACAAATGAGTTTTTTGAGGGGAAGAAGGCAGCTTTTAATGAGAGAAATACTACAGACCAACTTGGCCAGGTTCTTGGCCAGACGCCTTTCTGAGGAACTGGGACTCTTCTGACACATTCAAACTGTTTCCTAGGAGGGAAGACAAAGACCACTGAAGAGAAGCCAGCAGCCGGAGGAAAGCTCTTTTGTTACTTTGG